TAACCAGCCGCCATAGTTGCACCCGTCCCAGTGCGTGCCGTTGAAGTGCTCGAAGAGTGACAGCGTGCGCGGCTCCTTTGCGTTGCCGATGGTGCATGGTGGGCACTCGGGTAGTCTCGAGCGGTGGTAGATGCACCTCGTCGTATCGCCCATGCCGGTGCAGCGCGTGTCGAGGGTGATGGCACCCTTGGGATGGTTGAGGTGGCCCTGCGCCTCGTAGAGCCACGCCTGGTCGTGCAGCTCGACGGTGGGGCCGATCAGGTCGATGCCCAGCACCGCGCCCCCGCCCCGATCTGTTTCGCCGCATGGAAGTGCGCGCGCGTCGCTGCGGGCACCGACGGGTCGCTGACGATGGCGTCGGACATGTCCTGGCTGTAGGGCGGCAACACTCCAACAGAGATTTCTACATCGATGTTATGAAACACTAGCTGCGGGGCTCGCTAAACGCTCGCCGAGCTCCATGCTGTGCAACACCACCTCCTCACTAATCGTCAGGGGCGCGGAGAGCGCAGTGCACTGCGGTGAGGCTGCGCAGCGGGGGCTCACCCCCTGCACCGCGCTCAGCGGCGCAGGGGAGGGCGGTCGGTGGCGGCGGCGGCGAGGCGCGAGGCGGTGGCGGCGGTGGTGCGGGCGGCGGGATGACAGGGGAGGCGGCGGGATTGACAGGGGAGGCGGCGGCCACGAGCGGAGCGGCGCGAGAAGGGGGGGGGGGGGGGGCGGCGAGGCGCCGGTGAGCGAGGCGCCCGCGCCATCAGAGGGACGCGCCGCTGCGAGATGGAGGGCGGCGGTGACGGAGGCGAGGCGCGAGGCGGCGGCGGCGGCGGCGGCGGCGGCGGCGGCGGCGAACGGCGGCACCGAGTCTCGGTGAGCGGCGGCGGGAGGAGGAGCAGCGGCGGCGCTCGCTCGCTGTTGACGGGAGCGCTTTTGAGCCTGGGAGCCCATGCCACTGCGACCGGCGTGCTCGGGAACGGAGATCGCGCGCGCGCCGCCACTCACGACGCGCGCGCGATCTTCGCGGAGTCGGGTCCCCAGAGGGAAGCGGTCTTCTCGGCCGACGTCCAGCGGCGCGCAAGGAAGCAGGCGCAGCGGAGGCGGCCTAGCACCGGCTCGGCGCCGGGCGGTTGCGCTGCCCGCGAGCCGCGTCCTGAGCCTCGGCAGCGCGCTGCGCGGCGCGGCGCTCGCGCTGCTGCGGTGCCGAGAGCGGCATGATGGTTCGCCAGCTGAAGTTCGAGACCTGGGTGGCGGCTTCACCAGCTCAGTCCGGCGCTTCGCTGGGGCTACCCTTATCGATCAACACTTTCGATAGACCGAAAGTAAGATCGTTCGGTGCAGAAACCCCGGCCATGCCCATGTAACGCAATTGTGCTCGATTTTTTGGTAGAAGTGTCTCCAAGTCTTCTGGACCCATCGATGGCCGTCGCCTCGACGCCGCTCGTCGCGGCACCATCGTGCCCGGCCTGGGCGAAGCATCGTCGCGGGCGCCAGCCGCAGTTCGACGGCAAGCCGTGCGAGCCTGCCGAGGAGGAGGACATGTGGCTGTGCCTGGCCGACGGCCGCGCGCGCAGCACCGCCGACCTGAAGCGCCTGGCGACAGCCGCTCGGGTGCGAGCGAAACGAGCAGGAGATGCAGCCG